TATTTATTTATTTATTTATTTATTTTTGGTCTTTTTGAGACAGGGCTTCCCTGTAGCCCCAGCTGGCCTGGAACCCACTATGTAGACCAGGCTGGCCCACCTCTGCCTCCTGAGTGCAACACACCAGCTTTAAACATACACACACAGACACAGACACACACACACACACACACACACACACACACACTTATTTCATATACTTAAATTTCAAACACACATACTCAGTATTTCTGCATTAGAATAGAAAATCTGTGAAAAGGCTCAGCTCCTCATTCCTTCAGCAGGATCTGTCTCAGCTGCAGAGTCAGGGCTAGAGAAATTCAGACCATGAGCCCTACTTCATAGAAATTAATCTGCTGGAAGGCCCTCGAAAATGTCACTGGTAAACTCTTTCTTTCAATTTATTCATATAATGTTAAGATGCTATCTTATCTATTTCCCTTAAATTAAAAATGAAAGTGAGCCTTCCTTTAATCCCAGCACTTGGGAAGCAGAGGAAGGTCGATCTCTGTGAATTTGAGGCCAGCCTGGTCTCAAGAGCAAGTTCCAGGACAGCTGGAGACTCTGTCTCAAAAAGACAAAAAAAAAAAAAAAAAAGCGGGCTGGAGAGATAGCTCAGTGGTTAAGAGCACTGACTGCTCTTACAGAGGACCTGGTCCAGTTCCCGGCACCCACATGGCAGCTAACAACTGTCCATAACTCCAGTTCCAGGGTAATCTGACACTTTCTTCTGACCTCCGTGGGCACTGCATGACACAGGTGCATACATATGCAGGCAATATACTTATACACACATAAAATAATAAAATTTTTAAATCTGAAAGTTAATTCAGTTTTACACTACACGTTTTATAAGTACTATATTTATATTGGTGAGGGATGACATAGTCAAGTGAGACCTTGTCTCAAAGAGCAACAAAAAAGGATGACACAAAATACCCGAGCACCTATATATACTCAAGCTAGTTAGCTAGCTTCTTTTTGTTTTGTTTTGAGACATAGTGAGGGTCTCACTATGTAGCCCTGGCTGGCCTGGAACGCACTATATAGACCAGGCTGGTCTCAAACTCGGATATTCCCCTGCTTCTACCTCAAGTGCAAGGAGTGAAGGCATGCACTACCACACTAGGTTTCTAATTTTCTCTTGAATTGGTCCACTTAGTCTCCAAATCTCTCAATTTTTAATCCTAGAAATTTCTCCCATAAACACAATTACAGTGTTTCAATGAGGAAATATAACGTGTTTGTCTGAACTATGCATGTACATGGATTTTTTTCCCCCCACAACCTGAGCTAGGACAGTTAATCCTGTGACCAACATCCCTGCATTTTCCTTGACTAAGAAAACTACTAATTTCCAATTTAAATGTTTCCACCACTTATAATGCAAGATCTTCAGTGACCCATTCCAAACAGAAACGAGCACAGGGAACATGAGTGCTTCTTCAATGCATCTATGTCTTCCTCTAATCCAAGGTCAAAAAATGATTCCCACCAAGGACACCTGTGATCTCAGCACTCAAAAAGCTAAGTCAAGAGAATCATGAATTTGAGGCCAGCCAGGGCTATACAGTGCACTAAACCTTGTCTCAGATTTTTTTAAATTACATTTAAGAATTTTAAAAGTTCTCTTCCCCAACCAGTATTTATTTAGCTATACCTACATTTCCTACTTATGTAAAGTGCATAATTGCCAGAAGCGCTTACAGAGAGGCAGGCCTGAATTTCAGATCACTTATGCATTCATTATTCACATCTTCCTTTACTCTTACCATTTCTGTTCTGGGCATTGTACTAAGTGCTGGGGGTGTAGTGGCAAGTGCACAGAAGCACACTCACTATGCTGAAAGCATACAGAGTTCTAACTAGGCACCTACTTTGGGGACAGAGAAGAACAGAGGAAGACGTAATCAGCGTCTGGTCATTCACATAGAAAGAGATGCTTTCGAAATTTTTAAGAAAAGAAAATCGGGGCTGGAGAGATGGCTCAGCAGTTAAGAGCACTGACTGCTCTTGCAGAGGACCCAGGTTCAATTCCCAGCACCCACATGGCGGCTATGAACCGTCCTTAACTCCAGTTCCAGGGGAATCTGAAGCCCTCTTCTGACCTCCTCAGCATTGCATGACACAGGTGGACTCATATACATGCAGGCAATGCACTCATATACACAAAAATAAAAATAGCAGGGCGTGGTGGCACATGCCTTTAATCCCAGCACTCGGGAGTCAGAGGCAGGTGGATCTCTGTGAGTTCAAGGCCAGCCTGGTCTACATAGTGAGTTCCAGGACAGCTGGGGCTACAGGGAGACCCTGTCTCAAAAAGACCAAAAATTAAAAAATTAAAAAATTAAAAAAAAAATAATAATAAACAGAAAAGAAAAGAGACTCTTCAAAGTCAGTTAAACATGCCCTGTTCCCCTGAGATAAATTATGGACTGTGTTACATTAATTTAATGACTAAAACCTACTGCCACAAGAGACCATTCACTTCAGATCTCATTTTGCCTAAATGGAAATTATGTTCCTGAGAGCTTACATAATTGGCCCCAAAAGTCAAAAGTCACTCAACTAGTTAAAAGTGCTCAGAAACTAAAACTCGCATTTCCTGTGCCCAAGTCCAGTGGTATTTTGTTTTGTTTTTTCTCAATTCAACTAAGCTAAATTAATTATTTGCGTGTGTCCACCTACGTATGCAGGTATACGCACCTATGTGTGCCTGTATAGAAACCAGAGTCACTCACTGCCAGGTGTCTTCTATCACTCTCTACCTTATTCTTTGAGACAAGGTCTCTCTTAATGAACCTGGAGTACAGTCACTTCAGTTAGACTGGCTGGCCAGAGATCTCAGAGGATCCTCTTATCTCTGCCCAAAGCCACCCTCCCCCTAGCACTTAGATTACAGACATGCGCTGTCAGGCTTAGTGTTTTCACATGGGTTCTGGGCGTCTGAAAAGTTCTGCTTGCACTCTTCCCAGTCACCATTCTCTTCTATTACAAATGAGATTCTAACAGATAAAACTAAATTCTAAACCAAATGATCCAAAAATCATCTCTAAAACATTAGATGTTAATTGATCCAGTATTATTAGTTTTAGCAAATAGCTTGATGGGGCAATGGTTTTTAATCATGTGAGCATTCATTCTAGCATTTCACAAAAACAAGAGGCAGATGATTCATAAAAAGCTAAGCATCAATAACAGACATGGGCACACAGGGCCATTTAGATTTTCAAATCAACCCTCTAAGTGTGTACCAAATCACAGACTATGAATTGTAAACTATCTTTTAGAGGAAAATCTCAAGTAAGAAAAAGGCTCAGGCTGCAGAGATGGCTCAGCGGTTTAGAGCACTGGCTGATCTTGCAGAGGACCCTGGCTTAATCCCAGCACCCACATGGTGGCTAACAACCATCCATAACTCCAGTTCCAGGAGATCTGATGCCCTCTTCTGACCTCCTTGGGCACTGTACTACCCAGGTGCATTTACACACATGCAGGTAATACACTCACATACACATAAAATTTTTTTAATTTTTAAAAATTATATATATATGTATATATATATATATATACATATATATATATATACATACATATGGGCTGGAGAGATGGCTCAGCGGTTAAGAGCACTGACTGCTCTTGCAGAGGACCTGGGTTTGATTCCCAGCACCCACATAGTGGCTAGGAACCTTCCTTAATTTTTAAAAATTTATATATATTATATATTATGTATAGTAATATATTATATTACAAATACACACACACACACACACATATATATATATATATTCATTCCCAGAGGACAAGAGAAACATGACTTTAGAATCTACACTTCCTCACAGCAGCAAAAGTTGAGTTCAGCTTTCAATTTGTGTCCAAATTTCAGAGCCAGAGCATCTGCATCTGTATGTGCAGTAATTAAATGACAGTGCTCACTTAAAAATGCACTCTTCTTCTTGGCGTGGTGGCGCAGGCCTTTAATCCCAGCACTTGGGAGGCAGAGGGCCAGCCTGGTCTACATAGTGAGTTCCAGGACAGCTGGGGCTACAGGGAGACCCTGTCTCAAAAAGACAAAAAAAAAAAAGAAAAAGAAAAGCCAAACCCAATCAAATAGAGAAGCAGAGAACAGGGGAAAGCATACACTTTTAATGTCATACTGATCTGGTTTTAAAAGTCCCCAGCTCTGACAAACATTAACTGTGAAACCCTGGACAAACTATTGAGATTACTCATTTCTGGTTTCTCCATGAGATCATTAGTGAGGACCGATACAATCCATAAGACAACCCACAAAGCACAGAGTATTGCACACAGTTTGCATTTGAATGTTAATAACTGGTCTTTAGTTTGAGGTCAATCTAGGTTATAGCAGACCTTGTTTCAAAAACAAAACAAAAATTTAAAAAAACTACATAAAGTGAATCTTTAAAACTTTACCCAGAAATTCTTCTCACTATAAAAATTAAATGGAAAAAAAAAAAAAAGTGCTCTTTTGAGAGATCTTAACAAATCATGAACACTGTAGCAGAGACATCTGAGGGTTTAAATGTAAAGAAACAACCATTTCTGGTTACAGTATCTCTGTAAGCCTGACCAAATAAAATTGGGCTGAAATTTCTACATTAAAAAAAAAAAAAGTAGTGGGGTCTCGTGGAGTGCGCCTTTAATCCCAGTACTCAGAAGGCAGATTTCTGTGAGTTGAAAGCCAGCCTGGTCTACATAGTGAGATTCAGGCGAGGCTACAGGGAGACCCTGCCTCAAAAAGACAAAAAAAAAAAAAAAAAAAAAAAAAAAGAAAAAAGAAAAAGAAAAACTTAAATAAGCTAAGTGTGATAACACATGCCTTTAATCCCAGCACTCAGGAGAGGTAGGCAGAGCTCTGTGAGTTCCAGGCCACACCCAGCTAGTCCCCCAGCACTCCAAAAGAAATACAACTTAGTCAAAATGAGTCTCCTGCCCTAAAATGGCTATCATTCCTTCATTTACCTGTTGAATATTGCTTTAAAAATATATAAACCTTGATTTTTTTTTTTTTTTTAAATTTTTTTTTTTTTTGTCTTTTTGAGACAGAGCCTCCCTGTAGCCCCAGCTGTCCTGGAACTCACTATGTAGACCAGGCTGGCCTTAAACTCACAGAGATCCGCCTGCCTCTGCCTCCTGTCCCAAGTGCTGGGATTAAAGGCGTGCGCCACCACGCCTGGCTAAAACTTGATTTTAAGTGCTGTCTCTTCTCTAAACAATCTTCTGTGGCTACTCCCCTCTTACTTTTAACTGTGCTTTGTTGAGGGCAAGAGCTTAGTCTTCTCCTCTACTGTATTCATGTGGTTCTGCTGTCCAATAGTTACACATAAGATGGACGGATGGAGCTAGAGAGATGGCTCAGCAGTTAAGAGCACTGACTGCTCTTGCAGAGGACCCACATGGCAGCTAACAACTGTCCATAACTCCAGTTCCAGGGGATCTAATACCATCTTCTGACCTCTGTGGGCGTTACATAACATGGGTGCACTTACACACATGCAGGCAATACACTCATACACATAAAATAAAAATAATAAAAATTAAATTTGAAAAAATTTTAGATTTAAAATGAAATTTAAATTTAAAATAAAAAAAAAGATGGCTGGATGGATAGATGCTGAGCAACTGATTTTGGAACCATGTGACCCTACTGTTGGGAAATTTATCTGGACATGATGGGTAAAAGTCTAATAAACTAGCAGAAAGGCCTAGATCAGAAGAAAACAAACACACTTTCAGACTAATAAAACTGGAAAAGCCTAAAAGAAAACTAATGAACCTATGTCAAGATGAGAGTTAATACAAAACCACCTATCTGCAGTTTAAGGAATTACCATAAAACACATGTAGGACCTGAAATTTGGAATGGCTTAAGAAGTCATATGAATCCCAGGGACATGATGTGAAAAGTCAGTTCCCTTGGATTTTAAATTCAGAAAATTCCCTTGAAAACTGTTGGAGAACAAATTGAATAGCTGCCGGCACCACAGGCCATTTCGACATTCTGGCTAGGTGCAGCCCAAACCTAATTTCCCCATCCCTTCTCCTCCCTACTTTAACCACTAACTCTCTAACTTAGATTCTGGCCTTTATTCGCATAGCTAGGCAAAAGCCCATTCTGACATCTATGAAGCACTAACTATAAAAAACTTATAAGAGCATCTTGGCCATTCGAAACCAATGCTGTAAGAATTTAATTTAAAGACTATCAGGAAAATAGCTCTGGGACAAATAAGTTAATACTTCAAAGAGATGGCAAAACTTCCATACATTTGATACTCACTTGGGAGGGCATAAGACTTCTTCAAGAAATTCCTCAATCTTATTTACATCCGTTTTGACTTCACTGTTGAAAGTTATAAATGGTGGGTGGGTCCCGGGAGCCAAGTTTTGCAGGTCTGCAGGCTTCCTGTTAGGCAAAACAGTGGTCAAGATGAGATCATTTTTCACTCTAAAAGAGCAATAGTAAGTTCTTAGGGTGGTTCTAAATTTTAAAGTTTGTAAGAATGAGGAAGACTCAGTATTTTTTCACTAAGTATAAGAACTGCAGCAGTACTCTAATAAGCAACAAGCCTCCACAAAGCACACAACGTATGGTAAGATAACTAAGAGTCACTGATTTTGCCAACCAAAAGACAAAGTCTTTCATTCTCAGAGCTGGAGAGACGGCATAGTGGTTAAGAACCTACACAGCTTTTGCAAAGGACCCCAGTTTGGTTCCCGGCATGCACATCGGAAAACTCACAACTGCCTATAACTCCAGCTCCAGGGGATCAGACATGCTCTTCTGGCTTCCCAGGGTACTAGCACTCATACACACATACCCACACACAGACAGACAGACAGACAGACACATACACACACACACACATATACACATAATTAAAAGCTAAAAATAATTAAAAATA